GGCTGTCGGCCCCGGGGGGGGTGGCCCTGTCCACGGGCAGGGCGCAGGGCTCCCACCTCCCCAGGGTCACCCTGCAGCCCCAGGGATCGACCCAGAGCAGGAGGATTTAGGGGCTCCTCTCCCCCCGCGAAGCCAAGACCCCGCAGGGAAACAGCGAGATCCATGGGTGGGAGAAGGGCTGCGACTTTATTCAGCAACGTCCGCCCCCGCAAGCGAGGCCGCGGCCACGTTACCGGTGCCCCAGGGCTGTGAATGGGGGGGTCTGGGGAGCAGGGCCCCACGCTGCCCCTCTCCGCGGGTGCCTGGCCCGTGGGGGCTCACAGCAAGACACCCATCAGGTTCACCGGCCGCCCGCTGTAGCGCTTGGAGACATCCGCCTCGATCTGCAAGACAGAGCCGGGTGGTCAGGGGGGTGCAGGGGCAGCAGGGGGCCTGCAGCAGCCCAGCAGGGCCACCTCCCGCCCTCACCAGTTTCTGGAGCTCCTTGGTCTTCTCCAGCAGACGGTCGAGCTTGGGCTCCAAGGCGCCCTGCTCTGCCAGGGCCTCCTGCCGCTTCTGGCTCATCACCTCCTTCTTGGCCAGCAGCAGCTCTGCCTGCTTCAGCTTCTGCCGGAGCAGCTCGCTCACACGGTCCACGTACCTGTATGGGGAGAGCCAGGACCTCCGTCACCCCCATTGCCCACCCAGGTGCCATCCCCACCCCAGGACACCTCCATCTCCTGCCCCATGGTCCCCCCCTCAGCCCTGACCCCCTGTTTTTCCCTCCTCCAAGCGAGGACCTGGGGGAGGCGAGGATCATGAAGAGGTGCTGCATGCTGCGGGTGCAGAGCTGGCCCAGCAGAGCCCGGGTGGTGGCCAGGAGGGAGCACACATGGGCGCTGGTCTGGCCCTGCAGCACGGCGGGCGCCAGCTGGAACTGGCTGACGGCCACGATGTCGGCCTCCTCCTCCATCTCCACCAGGCGCTGAGACAGGAACAGCTCCAGCTGCGGGGACAGGGCAGGGGACGCTCCGGTACTGCCATCCCTGCAGTGGGACGGCAGCAGAGCTGCCCCTTACCTGGCTCTAGCCCTGGTTGCTGCGTTGTACCCACCTCCATGAGCTCGTCGATGAACTGGCTCCGGGTCTCGGTGTTTTCCAGGAGCGTCAGGGCATCAGAGCCACAGGCAACCCCCTCAGGCACTGGGGGACGAGCCAGGGGTGAGTGGGGCCAGGAAGCAGCAGGGAAGGGATCTCTACAGCTCAGACAGTCTGGTCATACCCCCACCCACCCCACTCGTCCTGTACAAGGTGCTCAGCATCACCCCATGGCACTGTTGAGTGGGGTCAGGGCCCTGCTCCTGCCCACCCAGCACCCAACAGGCAGCTGCCCAGCACGGCGCTGCTTCTGCTCTGTCCCCAGCAGGCCTCTGTGCACTGATGGGGTGCCCAGGGTCACCGCAGGCACAGAAAGGGGGAGTAAAGGCAGGATGGGTGCTGCCTGATGCCCGTTAGGACCCCCCCATGTCCCTTTGCAGCCATGCTCACCCTCTGTGCCAGCCTCCAGCACCGTGATCTGCACCTCCTCGCTTTCACCATCTCCCCAGTCAATACCATCATCCTGCTGCAAAAGAAAGGGCACCCTGTGAGATGGGGGTGCCCGGGACACCCCCAGGCCCCCAGTCTGGCCCTGGAGCAGGGCCAGACCCCAGGACCACACAGCCAGGGGTCACACACCTGGGGACCGGGCTCTAGTGTGATCCCCCAGTCGATCTCCTCGCCCTGGGCTCCCCCGTCAGCAGCGGCACAGGCACCCACGCTGGTTGGCTCCAGCGTGAAGTCTCCCCAGTCGATCTGCAGGGAGAACAGCAGAAGTCCTGAAACCCCGGGGGCAAAGAGCCTAACCCTAACTGACACACAGCAGAGCCGGCGGAGGCTCTCCCCAGCACCGCAGCTCAGCCCCGGCTGGCCAGGACGTACCGTGTCCTCCTTCGGCTGCTCCAGCACCTCCTCCACCACTGGCCGCTCCACCCGCAGGGGCTGGAGCCCCGTCCTCCACTCGTAGACGGTCGTGTTGCCTCTCTTCCCCACGTGCCGCAGCAGGGGCACCACCAGCTCTGCGGAGCTGGCAGCCACCCTGGGCACATCAGTGCCAGGCGCAGGGCGGGGACCCCCGAGCACCCCCAACCCCACCAGGGTCCCTCTGGGGGAGCCCCAGGCCGGGTGCAGCCACCAGCCCAACCTGCTGCCCCCGCACGTGGGGAGAGGAGATGCGGGGGTCTACCCCTGTGCCCCCATACCCGCCCCCTGCCCACCTCTCGCACACGAACTCCACGCAGGCCTGGTACAGCTCGATGGCCTCGGAGAGCGCACTGGCTCCCGCCCCGATTTCAGACAGCAGCGACGGCAGGTCCTTCACCAAGGCCAGCAGCTCCTGGCGCACGTTGTCACCCTGCGGACAGAGCAGGGACATGTCAGGGCAGGGAGGCTGGCAGCCAAAGCACGCCCAGGGTGGCTTCCCCCTCTGCTTGCAGAGCTAGATGTGGGCAGGAAGGGAATGGAGGGCTGTGGGGTCACCCTACACCCCCCAGCTCCTCTCACAGGTAAGGTGGCACTGTGGGGACATCATATGAGACACGCAGACCCAGCTTGAGCCCTGCTGAGGCGTCTGGGGGCTGCTTTGGGGAGGGAGGGGGCACAGCAGGACTCCCTCCGCAGCAGGGCTGGCCGCAGGGACTCACGGTGATGCCGTACTGCTTGCAGGAGGCGAAGAAGCGCTCCCGCAGCTCGGCCGCCCCCAGCTGACACTCCTCCTCACGGCGGGCAAAGTCCTGCTGGGCCTGCTGGCACCGGCTGATCTGCTTCTTCAGCGAGGGGATCTCGTAGCTGATGCTGCGTACCAGGAGGCTGGCGAGCTCGGCTGCAGGGGGGGCAAGAGAAGGGTGCTGAGAGGCCATGCCAGTCGCCCACGAGGCCCTCGGGGTGCCCCAGCCACCTCAGCAGCTTTCCCAGCCGTGCGGCAGAGGCAGCTCGGGGCCCTCACCCCACTGGGACTTGGCAGCCCGTCACGTCCTGCCCCTTTCCCTGCCCGCCTCATCCTCATCGCAGTTTGGAGACTGAAAACCACCCACCGACACCCCCCAAGGGCTCTCCGGAGCCTGCCCACAGCCAGAGCTGCCTTACCCAGGTAGGTGTTCTCCTTCTCGTAGAGGGACACGATCTCCTGCCAGTCCTGGAGAGGAGGAAGCAGAGGGTGGGGGAGGGTGCGAACACACTGGCCACTGCCAGCCGCAGGCCCCCAGGCCCACGCTCACCTTCATGCGCTGGGATGAGTAGCGTCCAAAGAGGTTCTTGGTGGAAGCCTCAGTGCCCTTGAGGATCTCCACGATCCTCAGGCAGTGGAAGTAGTGCAGGTCTGCGTTGGAGGAGGGATGCGGTCACCGGGATGTCTGCCGGGTGCCACCCTCTCCCAGCTCAGCCCAGGGAGCGCGGGTCTCAGACAGGGCTGTGCCACTGACTCTCCGTCTCCTCCTCAGCTGGGAGGAGGTTGCCACAACCGAACCCTCGGAAACAGGCTCCCGGTGCGACACCCGCCCCGGCTGCCCGTGTCCCGGCTCTCCTGGGGCACCCTGACCCCAAGCTGCACTCACAGGCCCCCGCCAGCAGCTGCTTTATCTCCTCGTTCTCTGGCATGTCTTGGATGGCCGCGTTGATCTTCTCGCGGATGGCCAACACCTGGCTCTGCCATTTCAGGTTACAGTGTCTCCTGTCCACCAGCCAGTCTGCGAGGCAGGCGGGAGGGAAAGGGGGGGGTCACCTGGGAGAGGAACCCGGGGGGGCTCACCAGGAGGCGGTCACCCCCCCAGGCTGCCCTGCGATGCCAGACGGAGGCAGGGAGCAGAGGCCTGGGCAGAGCGGCTCTTGTGCGTCCCGTCCCCGCCAAGCAGAAGGGCCAAACACCGGGATAAAGCCCCGGCTCCTTCCCCAGCTCTGGGAAGGGCTGGAGGGGTAAGGGGGGGCCGGGGGGGTCACCCCGCTGCTGCCTGGGCTGGGACAACCCGGCCCGGCACCGAGGGGGGCGGCGCTGGGGCCATGAGCTGCCACACGGCGGGGGGACAAACCCTCCCGGGGGAGGGGGGCACGAGGGAC